AAGTTAAAAAGAAATCCGTCAGCACTTTTCCCTGGGTAGAAGAAAACTGAAATTGTAGCACTGCCTTCTCCAGACAAAGCACCTCCCTCTACTTGTGTGCATTCCCTGGGCACATGCATTTATGCATATACACTTACTAGTTCCTGAGAAAATCAGTTAATGTCTTCTTTTCTCTTTCCCCCACTGTCTCAGTTCTTTTCTGCATTCTTCCTGTATCCATCTTCTCATCCCAAATGCCCTTTTACCATTACAGTTGTGTGACTGCAGAAAGCATCCCCCCAGTTTCCTTTGCGTTGAAGTGGTGATTAGGTTGGGGTCTGTTAATTCCTGTGGAGTTTTTCTCTCCTGACTATTTCGAATCTTCCTCAAACAATTTCCCCCAGGCTTTAAGATGTTTTCCCAGTTCTCTTCTACCTACTAAGCTGCAGCATGAAATAGGTCTCTCAGATGCCTCCTGGGTGAGTCCTATGTTTCATTACAGCTAAAGGTGCTCCCTGATTCTGCAATCACACCCTGTCCTAGCAGCAAGAGTTAAAGACGGAAGGGGTGCATGGCCTATCCTGACAACAAACTTCCTTCTGCATAAACACAGATGATATTTTTCTATAGTTTTAACTAAGACTAGCAGTCTCTTTTGCTGCAATCATGCTGCTGGTGCTCTCGTGTCAATACAGCCTGCCCATAGGAAGCCCCTGTATCCAATGTGAAACAGACTGTAAAAACCAATGAGGGTAAAATGCGAAGTCACAGACTGTTCCCTTCCTGTGCAGGGGTTTAGTAATATTGACAAACCCACAAATGAACTGTCTGTACTAGGAGCAGAGGCCTACAAGCATTATCTGTCTACAAGGACATAGCTGATTTTCCAGCACTTTGGATTGCTTGTTAGTGGAGCTCCCATCCTTTCACTGAAAACACCTGATTTTTGAAACACTCAGCTGTGCTGGAATTTAAGCCTTCACCTTCCAGTCTGGTCACAAGAAAAATCTAGTATTCACCTGCACATCCAATGCCTACAGATAATGCTATGCTCATTCACAGTAATGATACAGCATGGACAAGCTTACTTGAACAAGTTGGGATCTCCATGCCAGCTGCAGCATCGCTTTCAGCTGAGGTTCCCTTTTGGACTGGTTGCTGCCTGTCAGAAACATTCATAGGTTATAGAAACCCCTTCAGATCAGTTACTGCTTGCTTCCCTGGACAGCTAAGCAAGCACTGCCTCAGCTTCTGTATTGACCTGTCCCTGGCACCTGGACAACTTGTTTGCCACAGAACAACTCCCTGAAAAATACTGACTATGCTCCTCTCCCCAACCCACGTTGCTCATCACCACATCTCTTACTGCTCCAACAATGTCTGTCCACAGGAAAGCTGGACTGTTTTTTGCAGCTATCCCACAAGGTATCTCACACAGGTTAATATTGTACCTTCCAGATTCAAAGAAGCTGTGCCACCTGTCCAGTGGGACATGGTGTTCCTTTTCTTTGGGAAAATAATAGGAAAAAGGAATGAGGAATACTGCCAATAGCACCTAGATATTACTGTCCCATTTCATTCCTTTAAATTAATGAACTATATTCTTTTCATAGGGCTGTGTATCAATATTGATCACAGGAGAAAATTCAATCAAGAGATACATTTCTGACATGCATAAAAGGCAGTTTGGGTCAGAAGATATTGTTCTTCTCCAGCTGTTGCTGATAATTTAAATACTTTGCCATCTCTCTGCAAAACCTCAGAAGCCTTTGGTCTGGATGAGTAGAACAAGGGAGGGGAAGGAATGGGATGAGGGAGGAAGAAAGTCTTTCTACTACCTGAATTTGGAAGGTAGTTTCCTTCAGGCTGGCTCTTACAAGGCACAGACTGGTTCATGTAACCCTACTAGAAATGAATATAAAATTCACAGCTAGTTTTCATCGTGTGAGTGCAGCCTCCTCAAGCGCACAGTGCAGGAACCTCAGTGGAGCAGAGGTCTGAAAAATGGTTATAAAGGACACCATAAACAGTGGCATGACTGGGATATGACAGGTTACCCTGAAAAGAAACCTGCTGTCTTCAGGAGGGTTGAGCTACCCACCCTGGGGTCTTCGCTGTCATGTGGAACCACAGCCACATTTTTGAGTGTGTTGTAACATTAATCTCTGAAGCATTTCCTCCAGAAATGATGCTTTAGGACCAGGAGACTCAACACTTTGGAGCTGACATGATATTCTAAATACTTCCAGAAACAAGAATGCACTGTTGCTTGAGGCAGATGGGACTATAAGGCAGAGTTGGCAGCAAACCAAAGATGCAGATTATTCTTCTTTCCCCAATTATTCTACAAACACTTCCCCCCCACTTCCCCCCCCCCCA